TCAAAATATTTGTACCGACCAAAGGAGCAAAGTTTGTTCAAATAGGTTTTTAAAGGAGAAACTGAGTTGAGATTAGTATTTCGCACCTCGAAAAACTTTCAAATAAGAATTTTCATATTAAACGAAAAATAATTATTTATGAACCAAATATGACTCCATCCACCCTCCCTTGGATTTTTTAACTACAACTAATAATATAATATAAACAATATTTATATGAGTAGAAGAATTTTATACTATAACAATCATTTTTACTTATTTTATATTATTTTTCGTAACGCTGGCTTTTAATAAAGTAGTTTTACCACTATTTAGCCTATTTATGACCACCGCCCCGGACCATCTCCTTCCTTTATTTTTTCTAAAATTCTCCGCTTTACAACGATATTTTATACGTATACCTTCTGACTGTTATTTTCGAAGATTCATTTTCAACCGGGATAAGCCTTTTTCTTTTTTTCTCCAGTTTCCAATTATCATATTCAAACTTCTTATTTAGCAATTTTTTATATTTACTGTAAATAAAAGTATAATAATTTTCAAAATAGACCATATTCAAGGTACTTTAGAGGAAGACGTAAATGAACATTGGGCATTTAAGTCCTGTAAAGTGACATCAATGGGGATAAGACCTAAAGATCAAATACCACTTAATTATACAACGATACACCGAGTTTAATCAAAATAGTTAGAGCCGTTTTTGAAAAAATTGTAAAAATGTGTTTCAGCGTTGATATAATGTGGCACTTCCGGTTAGCCGATTTTAAGAAAAAAGTTGCTGTAACATCTAAGGCATATACCTATCTTAAATACGTAATATCAGTTTCGTAGGACTTTTCATTTTTGAGTTTGGCTTACCACATACATATACATACACAGACCATTTGGTGGGACTTGGTTATTTGGACTTAGGGAAGCTCAAAACATCTATTTCAGTTGAAAACTCAGATTAGAAAATATTCATTATCGCAATACTTACCCTTACTATATATTTCATATATAGGAAATGAAAGTAAAAATATGTTTTTCAAAATTAATTTTAATAATATTGTAACGATGTAATAACAGAAATACATGATTATTTTTAAAAAAATATTCTAAAAAAAATTTCCTTATCTAATTATGAACGTAATTATATTATCAACAGATATGATTTTTTAAAAATAAAAAGCATAGCTGAGACGGAAGTCAATTACATTTATCAGCAAACGGAATAATTAATTTGCTTACAGCATAAATAAATAAAAGGAATGAGAGAAGAGGTGCAATAGACTGTTATAAAAGTGAGGCAGGTGGGAAGACAGATGTTCACAATGTTACAAGCAGGTGGTACAACCAGAATCTGTAACCTGGCTGCTACAGGCAACCAACCCCACCTTTAAATCTAATTTAACATTCTCAATTCAAATACATGACAATTTTAAATTTATTGCCGTAAAATAAATTAAATAACAACATAACAAAATGTGGTTAAGAATAAATAAATATGGAAGAACGTCTAAGAATTTACTGGATTACTTGTTTATTGATAAATATTACAATCTTTCTCAATAAAGGACATTTATAATAGAGCTCAAAGATCACATTCACACCATATTTACAAAAAAAAAAAAAAGGTAATTTCGAAATAATATGCAGCGAAATAAGAACAAAATAAAATATCATAATGAAGGAAGAAAATATAAATAATAGGAATAATAAAATAAAAATGAACATCGTCTAAGAATTAGAGTCACATATTAAAGTATCCTTGCCATTTTCTATTGGTTTCATAATTACCTATATTTCAAAGGTTAATTAACATAAATGTTCTTTGTCGTTTGTGAATAAAGTACAGAAAAGGCCGTTTGAGAGTAAGGTAATATACAGATAGTTTTTTATATATAATTAACTAAATAATTTTTTATATGTAAAAGAGAATTTATATATAAAACAAAAAATAAATTCTCCACCGGTTTAAACTAAACTTAATACAAATCACAGAACAATGAAACCTCACTGAAACAAACCCCAGCCTTATTTTATTAATAAATCAACTGCCTATGTGGCAAATGTTGGCAGTAGATAATGGCTACTGTGGCATAATATCACTTTCAGATTCAGTGAGAAGTTCAGGCATAATAATATATATAATCAGGCATAATATAATATAAGTTCAGATATAAACCTTCGTTAGTGTTTTAACGGCAAATGTACTCATATTAGCACTCTATTTTTGGTGTATAAAGCTCCAAAATCCATTAATGAGTTGAAAACTGTCTATTACTGATACATCGTCAGGTAAAAAAGCACCTTTAAGCAAAATAATTAGACCGAAAATTTCATCTAAAATAGTAGATGAATAGCCTGCCACCGATTAAATTAAATTTTAACAGTTTTACAGTTAAAAATCTTATTACCTAATAAATTTAACTCCTCTTTCCATATTTTCACTGTCTACAATATTTCAAGGATCTTATACTTCTAATAGTTATTGATATTAATTTCAATTGTTAAATGTCATTTAATAAAATTGATACTAGGCGATTGGTACAGCATTCTCCAAATTTCCTTAAACTTTGGATCAAATCGAACTGAATCGTTTTTAAACTATAGTGTTTTAACTTTCACTCACCTATATGTCAAATATATAATAAAGGAAAGTATTGCAATCGTGAAAATTTTCGAATCAGTTTTCAACGGAAATACACGTTTTAAGGTCCCTTGGTCCAAAAGTCTCGCAAAATGGTCTGTGTGTATGTGTCAGCTGTAACAGCCCAGCACAACAGCGAAAAGTAGTACGAACGAGAAATTGCATATTTAAGGTTATTATATACTAGGGATGTTACAGCAACTTTTTCGTCAAAATCGGCTAACCGGAAGTGGCACTTTATATCATGGATTAAACACACGGCTGTAACGATTTTGATTAAATTCATTATACCAGACTAAAATTAAACAGTATTAAATAACATGTAGTTTTTATTCTGATTGATGTTCTTTAACAGGGCAGAAATGGTTGATTTTCATTATTATCTTCTCCTAAAGAATATATTTTGAAGGAAGATACATTTTTAAATTCAAAATAATAATTTAGATTGATTGAGGACATTCTACACAAGGATACAATAAGAAAAAAAAACTGTGAAAAACTAAGATGTGTGCTTTAGACCACTCGATAGAAGTGAAAACAGCAACAAGGCGAATAATATCTAATAACGAAATTAATAATATGAAATATAAATTATAAATAATAGATCATTATAGAGAGGGTTAAATTCTGAACATTTCCACCGCTTACGGGATGCAGGTCCGATTTTTAGATTCTCAGATATTTTAATATATATCTTCCATAAAACCGTTATATTTGCGGTTCTATTGTATCCTAGTATTTTTCAACTATTTTCATTACAACTTTACAGTTGATATTGGTGAATAAATTTTCTACATCAAAACAGATTAAACAATATTTACCTATTGTCTATTGTATTCATTCTTTCAAGCATTTGACCCACCACCTCCATTGAGATATTTAGCCAAATTTTTCAGTTTCCTCATTGATATTACTGATAATAGGTTAAACAAAGTTCTATTGCATAAAATATAGACATCAAAGCAAGGTCAAACTAAAAATGTTCTTAATGATTTACAATTTATTTATAAATATATGAAGGACCATTCACTAATGTTAAATTAATGATATTTACTAGTTTATATTGAATCCAACGACTTTGTGGAAATCTCCAGTTGGAAGGTTATATAACGTTATATTACTATATATTTTTCATTATATCTAAGTAGTGTTGCCCAAAATCGGTCTTGGTCTTGCTCTTTGCAAGATCAAGACCAAGGCCGCCCAACTGTTGCAAGACCAAGACCAGGACTAGTAAAAAATATCGATTTTTTGAATAACAATTAAGGTAAAATATTTACTGATACTTGACAACCTTAGTTACGATATGTAAATAATTTGTATAGCCAATATACTTTTGAATGTAACTCTTCTAATTTTTCATTCGGGCTTAGTTAGGTTTCTCCGATCCAAACAATTACAGTAATGTCTCCACAGTGACAAGCTAATAAGTAACTGCAAGACTGTTGCGAGACTCTTGCGAAAGACCAAGACCATGGTCAAGACTGAGTGTGCAAGACCAAGACTCGTCTCGGTCTCGCATTTGGGCAACACTATATCTAAGAATTTCTGGTATTATTATCATTTATATTATTTCTCTTCTCATTTTTTATATATTATTAATAATGTTGTCAAAATAAAATTTCAATGTTGTAATAAAATTAGCATTTTTACTATATAGTAGTATTAACTGGTTATCACATTTTTCCCTCTTATACTCTCTAACATGGTTGTGGGTTAAGATAAAATTTCGAATTATAGCTTATTATAGAGAGGATGAATTTCTGAACAATTTCCTCTCATACAGAATTGAGGGCCGATTTTTAGTTTCTGAGTTATTTTAAGCCTTATGTAAAAACATTTCAATTAGTCGACAATAGACGACTTCCCAGAGCGTTAAAATCTGATGGATCAATCCACGGGTGGATCTACGGGGAGAGGGGGGGGGGCTTTCGGGCTGAAGCCCTCCCCCAAAATGGTAAAAAAGTTTTATCGAAAAAAATATTAAAAAATTATCTCTTAAAGTATAATTATTCGTGTATTTACATTTAAAAGGGCTTTAGGAATCACTTAAACACCAGTTCATACAGGTAGTTAGTTTCTTTCTTATTTACCAAAGTAATTATTGTTATTTTTATGAAAAATGAGCTTTCTGGCTGAAGCCCCCAAAATTAAATCCTGGATCCGCTAGTGGATCAATCTAATTAATTCTCCACAAAAAAGTGCAAAAGGAAGTTTTCACTTCAAAAAGAATAAATGTTCTGAATGAAAATAGAGAAAATCTGAACTATAAAAAAAACAAAAAAAAAAAAAACAATCGATCACCTTATAGATCATACTTCGTTCACTTTTTTTTTCAATTGAATTTAAATTTGAATTAGCCTGATACCTATCTGTTGAAGAGCGGCCGATCCCCAACGACAGGGTTATAGAGAGCTATTATGAAACTATTGAAATTGTAAGACGTCTGAGGCAGACGAGCCGTCTGGACGGTACAGAAATAGCGAGGAGTATATATAGAGAACCCCCAGCGGAGTCCATTCACTCCCAGCTTCAACAGTTTATTTTTCTTATTTTTATTTTGCCCATGTGTCAGGTCCCCGTTGGATAGTTCCTCTTGTTTGTTTGTTAGCTCTATTGCACGCTTCCCAGTTGGTTGCACTCTAGATAAGGAGGCCTTTATAGCCAGTACGCCTTTATTATTTCCAGCTTCGGGGCTATTTTTGAATCCGTTGTTTCCTTCTATAAATAACCCATACCTCTCCATTGAATAAAATAAGCCACACTGCATAAATAATAAAAATAGGCTAGAAAATAAAATTGATATTGTATGGAAATAGAAAAATATATATTCTCTCTCTCTCTCTCTCTTCCCCCACCATGCGCGCGCTTGCGGGTGTTTGTGTGCATCCACACGTTTCAAACAGTAAACAATCAGAATAATATTCATAATAATAAAGTATTCATTAAAAAAGTTACAATTACAAATGAAGATGTCACATCCATATCCTTCTTCGAAAACGAGAAATAAATTTAACTGATTATTTTTTATAATAACAATAAGAAATTTAGACATAAAAATCAACACGAAAAATATTGAAAAAATAATATATAAAACAAACCCTTTCTTACTTTATGGTGTTTTAGTAGAATTTTCTAATTTCATGTATAAATATATTTTTTATTAGTTGCAAAGGACACAACTGTTTTACGGAGAGAAGTTTCAAATAGGAAAATAGCTATCTAATATTAATGACCAATTAACTTTACATTGAAGTAACGAATTTATTAAAAACCAAAGACATATTTTCGAAAATATTGCAAAAAATGAGTAAATTCTATAATATAAAGTGTCCCTCCAGATAAGTTGGTTTTCAAGATAAATAGCCAAAGGCAAAACAGTTCAGTCCCATTTTCTCTACAGTTTTTCAACACATTTTCTTTTTTTGTTTAGTAGCTATTGGCGAGCTTTAGTGTTATCAATAAAACAATTTTGGAAACAGTGTATATAAATAAAAATGTAAGTTTGTTCTAACCGCCAATATCCGAATGTTCTTCGGATTTCCGGTTGCTTTGAAATTTTGATACTACGTTGCAATGAAATTCAGAATTGCTTTCATATATACTTCTTTATCAGCCGGCCTTTCGTTTTGAAATGCCGAACGAAAAACGTATGTCGCTTTAGACTATAGCACCAAAATGGCTGCAACGATTTTAATTTATGTATATATCATACTTCCCCGAAAAGAGGCTGAAAAAAAAAGGAACGATGGATTCAGAATTTTATTTCGGAATAACTCAAAAAGTACACCATTTTAAAAAAGTTGTAAGCAAACGAAAATTGTTAATTAATTATATTATTATAACGAGACATAATAAAAAATACTACATTAAATTATTGCATCACAATTGTAATTAAGAAAATATCGTATTCATAATCTATATATGGTGCATGTTAGTTAGATGATATAAGTTTAATATTAAAAAAAAAAAAATTATAAAATAAATTTTGGACTATTTATATTACTGATAGTTGTTAAATAATATGTGTCTGATAAAGGATGAATTTTGAATTGTAAAAACTGAATTAAAATTAGTTTTGCAGGATCTTGAAAATGGCTCCTGAAGCCGAAACGTCGAATAAAGAATACAGGATGTAAAAACTGTGTACATTTGGTGACCTTTGGCCTAAAATATATATTAAAAACTAATGAGAAAATGGCACCAAACCTGAAGGATGTGACTAGTAAAATAATCTATATAGTATTTATAAATATTTTCATAATGATCTAAATTAATTCGCAGCTCCAGTCATCCTTTTCCATTAATTATAGATATTACATTTTTGCTATTAGTAGTTTATCCGCTATCTTCTGTTTGTTCTCGCTAATTTGGCCTTCTCAATTGAAGCCTTGAAAAGAAGACCTTAATTTCCTGGTCCTTTTAATATTTTCATCCATAGGTCCAACTCTATTATTAAGGGGGTGTAGAAAAGGGATTCGGGGATCTATTGAACCTAATAGATTGATCTATTGAAAAGAAAATTCCGAAACGGGCAGATGTCCGAACCGGGACAATTTGGAGGGATATAGTAAATAGAGGGATCGATTTTCAAAAAGGGTCGCCCCTCCAGGCCTAACCCTTGAGAAATAAATCATTAGGGATCCTAGGAATCGAACCTAACTTAAAGGTACTGTAGAAGGAACTGTTCTTAATCATGGGCGCAATAAGACTCCTTCTTTAACTACACAATAGCCAAGTGAACGGAATATAACGAATAAATGATAAAATATTTCGTATGATACCAGATGGTTTACACAAAGGAAGCCTCAAAAGATGGTACCGAGAACCTTTAATTCATGCATGAGTACATGACAAGTGACTAACCTTTACAAAAATAACCTTACCAATAACAGAACCAGGGGTATGAACTATCACGCAATAGTAACTCTGAGGTACTTCCAGGTACTAGGTTCGTCATAGATTAGATCAATAAGCGATCATCAATAAAAAAATAAATATAACTGATTTATATATCAATATATATATATATATATATATATATATATATATATATATATATATATATATATATATATATTTATATTGATTTAAAATTATAACAGAAGGAAATTGTATTAGTATCTATGTAAATTCTTTTAACACAACAGTTTAACAAAGGATGCGGGAACAATTGTTGAAAATACGTAATAATTACTAACAGAGCAATGACAGTTGAATAAATTCATGATCTCATTTTCTTTTCAAGCTATACAGAAAATCATCGATGGCAATGATGCCCTTAACGTTGGAACACTGAATGACGTCTTACTATAAAAATCGTAATCTCATTCAAACTGGACAGAATATAGTCAATGATTATAATTACGATACAGATACAGCAAATGATTATTTTCTTCTCTTATTAAAACAGTTCTTTAAGATAAAATATGTAGTAATCGAGTAGAATTTCATTACCTTCATTGAGCATCCATGAACAATGCTCACTAATGTATACGATGTTGAAAATATATCCTAATTAGATTAGGTAGTTATAATTATTTCTCGAAAGTGTTTTTTTGTCAGCATGCCATATCTTCGTTAATCATTTATCAAACCTAATGATAGAATCCTCATTTTGAAGGTTATTTTCTCCTCCAGGTGCTAAAAACATCCACAAAAAAGTAAGGGAAAAATTCATGATGAAAACGAAATTATTGATCCAAAACTCAAAAAAAGACATCTTTCGGTTGATTTTATCAAAGATTTGAAATGAAAGGCTTCCAAATCATCACAGCTATTTGTACACTGTGTTTTAATTTATTAATATGAAAGAGGGTGATTGAACAAAAAAATCAAAATTAAATCATTCATCTCATAATAAACTGTATTTGCTTATTTTCATAATAAAGTTCCATTTTTGCACTTAACAGTTTACGATCCGAATTATTCACAGGAGCCAAGAACTAGTTATTATGAAACCTGGAATTTGCTTATCAGTAAAATAATAACAAACCTGTGAATGTATTACAATTTTGATGAGGTGTGTAATATTTGTAAGTACGGAAGTTGCATATTTTTTAATAACATGATAAAATAATGCAATGAACAAATTCCCCACTAAACAAAATTAGCTGCCCCGAAAACGATGTTTTTGTTTTTGAAAAACTTTATGCAGCTTCGAAAGGGAGGTTTCAATTTATAACGGGTCATAAAAAGTGCCTGAATGGATTCCTGTTCATGAAATATAAAAAAAGTTGCCACCAGATCCTACTAGTCACAATTATCAATAATAAAAAAAGGCGTTACTGTGGACAAATGTTTATTTTCTAACATTTAAGTTACCTAAAGATAATTTAGGATTGTTTCAAAACACATATCAACAACCAGCCCTTCCAGCGCTTCCAGACCGGGGTAATGCTATCCTGTCACCAATAGAAATGAGTCTTCCTCTTAAAAAAGGAAATATCGGACAGCTGGCAGATCAAGTGGAATGAGAGTCCACCATGCAAGTTGAAAGTTTTTAAAAAATCAGTAAAGCCCTGGATCACATCAAACAGTTCTAATCGCAGGGAAGTCGCCTTGACTAGGTTAAGAATAGGTCATACAAATTTGAATCATATGACTTATCAATAAACAGCCACCTCCAACTGCCAATGCTGCAATATCCCCCTCACTGTCAGCCATATTTTTCAGGAATGCCCCTATTACACCGCAAGCTTAAATAGATTATCTCTTAGGCCGGATATTTCAGCTATATTAAATAATGACGAATCAAAAATAAACTTAACAGTTAAAAACATTCTAAAAACTCCTCGATTATTTAACAGAATATATTTTTTTCTTTTTTTTTTGTAAGGAGTTTCTTAGCTCCAGAGAACAAAAATAAAGAACAAACAGGCGTTGATGACCCAAGGGTTTTACGCCTCAAAGCCCAAATAAACAAACATATCGACAGCCACACTGCAAAATCCTGTAAAAACAAAAATTAAAATTTTTCAGGAGACGAAAAAAAAAAAACTGTGACCCAAGACACACATGTAATGCTCTATGTAACTTTTAGCTTCTAACTTATAGCTTTTTAATTACTTAGAAAAACTGGTATTAGTTAAGTAAAAGCAATCAAATTTATCATAGTAACACCAATAATTTGGTTAATAATGATCAAACCATTAAAGGAACAAAGACAGTTTTCAAAATCCATTTTGAAACCGCTCCATTTTGGAGTATTGAATGAAAGAATAGTTTTAAACGTACGCAACTTCATTTGGACATGGTTTGATTTAAGAATACTTGGTAAGTCCTAGGTAACATGCCGATGTATAGATCACTTCGTTTTTGAGAAACTAGAGTTCTTTTTTTGTCTTGTGTTAAATTTTCTAATTAATCAAATCAATTTTCTGTCTCTCACTATCTGGAATTCGGCGGCATGGTAGCCTTTTCTCTGAGAAGCTTCTTTTGCAGTTGCCAGAAGATTTCGATTGATTTGAAGGCCGTTGAATATTATATTCCCGCTAACCACTCTCTTCTTAGCTTCGTCAAGTAGTAATGGTAAGCAGTCCCGGCCTCAAGGCAGGGTAATCCGGACATTTGGCTAGAGGCGCCGGGGTGGAAGTTCCCACCAGTTATTAGAAATTAGAAAAAAATTAATACAAAGCATATGAGAAAAATTAATTTTGGCCTATTAATAAATAATTCCAAGCCTAAAGAAAATTCTGAAGATTGAGAGGAGGATTCACGGACCCAAGGTAACGCGAAGGGATACAG